CGGTAAATGCGGGAGACACGGTGGAGGGCGTTCTCGACCACTGAGGGGGGGAAGTTGCGGTCCTTGAAAAACAATGACATCTGAGATGTACGGGAGTGGAATGCCTCATCCTGGGAGCAGATGCGGCGGAGGCGAAGGAATTGGGAATAGGGGATGGCATTTTTGCAGGAAGGTGGGTGGGAGGAGGTGTATTTTAGGTAGCTGTGGGAGTCGGTGGGCTTGAGATGGATATCGGTTTCTAGGTGGTTGCCCGAGATGGAGACAGAGAGGTCCAGGAAGGTGAGAGAGGTATTAGAGATGGTCCAGGTGAACTTAAGGTTGGGGTGGAAGGTGTTGAAGTGTATGAACTGTTCGAGCTCCTCGTGGGAGCACGAGGCGGCGCCGATACAGTCATCAATGTAACGGAGGAAGAGGTGGGGTTTAGGGCCAATGTAGCTACGGAAGAGGGATTGTTCCACGTATCCTACAAAGAGGCAGGCGTAGCTTGGGCCATGCGGGTACCCATGGCCACCCCCTTTGTCTGTAGGAAGTGGGAGGAATTGAAAGAGAAGTTGTTGAGGGTGAGGACGAGTTCAGCTAAGCGGATGAGGGTATCAGTGGAGGGGGACTGGTTGGGTCTGCGGGACAGGAGGAAGCGGAGGGCCTTTAGGCCATCTGTATGGGGAATGCAGGTGTATAGGGACTGGACGTCCATGGTAAAGATGAGGTGTTGGGTACCGGGGAATTGGAAATTCTGGAGGATTTGGAGGGCTTACCTTATTTACTTGAGTGTGAAATAACTCTACAGAGGACGGTATCCTGTCACCAAGTCACCTTTTATTAACGCATGAACAGTCCTTGACTAGAGTACTGCCTCATACAGAGCCAGGCACCAGTGTGTCAATATCCCTGACACTCAAACTTTTTACATCAGCCAGGCCTCCCTGATTGGACTAGATTAGCAACCCCCATCAAGAAACTCATATTCTGGCTGACCTCATTACAGTCACTACAGAGGGGTCTTATTTTGCTTGTTACATGCAATAAAACTAAAGTAATTGTTTCTGTATTTGGTTGACTATGAGATTTCTTAATAAGTAGCCAAATTAAATGAACTTGTGATAATTTACACACAACAAGGGGAAGTGCTAAAGATTTAAGAACCCTGCAAAAGAAACCCTCATGGTAATCCTCACCAAGAAAAATATTTAATTGAATGGTTGTAATAAATTCAGACCTGGTAAGAGACTTGTTATAACAGGAGAGAGCAACTCTCTGGAGAAGGAGAATTATCAACTTCAAAACAGAGACTGGCTGCAGCATGAGGCAGTGGCCTAAGGAAGTGGTCCTGAGTATGATGGTGAATGAACAGATATCAGAGGCTCTGTGTAAAATTTCAAATCCTGATAGATCTGGGGTGTCTTTAAAATGATTCAGTCATTCAGGCTGGAAAAGAGAAAAAATAAACCATTATTTTTGATCGGCTTAAATCGATATTACTGCCATAGTAACGGGGTATGATAAGGCACAGCTACAGAAATTGAACTAAAGGACCACAAAATAAATATTATTCCAGGAACATCACAAAGCCAGAAATTAAATCAATAAAGCTCGCTTGATTAAAAGCCTGAGCAGACTTGGTCCAATGAGAAAGGGTAGTTTAGGAGACATTCTTCAGGTTGCAAAATAGATGCAGGAATCATTTATTTAAACCATGAGGAGTGGGACTTGTTAAAAATCAGGAGTTGTTTGTAAAGCTGCAGGTAGCAGGCCAAGTATAGTGAAACCATGGAAAAACAAAGGATTCAAGGGAGGACTACATGTCTTGCACACAGGGAGTCTGCATGGCTACCAAGGGTAGCACAAGATGAGAATTTTGTGTCGGGTGAGATAATTAGAACAGCATGGTTGATTGAAGAAGGAGAAACTATCACACAGTTGGCGGTTAATGTGAATAAGTAAGTTGGGGTCACTGCTTTGGGAGAAATAGTGACTGCTGTCTTTGAACATGATGGAGGATAATGAGGGACAAACAAAGGAAGGCTAATGGATTGTTGAGGAGGGGTGATGACAGAACAGTAGGAAAGTAGGAATAATAACAATTGGGAAGAGTAATTAAGGGAGCCAAGGTGCTGGAATGAGCAGATGTAAATAATGGAGGAAAGTAGGACTTAGTAGCAGCTGCAAAATTTAGAATAGAGGATGGGATTTTGCGCCTGTATGAAAGTGAAAATATGGATGCCATGCTAATATCCCATAAACAATAATAAGATAATCTGTTCATGATGTTGGTCAGGATAACCCAGTTCTTCTTTGAATAGTACTGGTGGATCCTTTTAAACCTCCTGTGAGATAGGTGGACTTTCTGTTTAATGTTTCATCTCAGTATATTGTAATATGACTAAATGTCACATCTTTGTTTTTCTCTTTTTTAGAAAACTTCATTATGCACCAGTTATCCCAACGAAGCCAACCCTCACTACCAGTTATGTTCATGGTGCCATGGATATGCCACTCATTTCCAAAAGCGTTGGTCAATGTCTTGAAGATATAGCCAATAAGCACCCTGATAAAGAGGCTCTAGTGTTTCTGCAGGATGGAGTCAGGAAAACCTTTGGACAATTGAAGCAGGAGGTGAGAACACTGCTTTGTCTCAATGATTCTTCAGATTTTACTCCCCTCCTTGTGTTTCAAGTATTTTACGTCATTTTAAGGTTTGAACTAAAATATTCTTGGTCTCATTGTGCTGCTAAAAATATTTGGTTAGTCTGCTGAGATATGGAAAACATTAACTTTATTAAAGAGCTGCATTACTGTGGGGTTTTTCCTTTTACGAAGCTGCAGGAGAGACCAAGATCATGTGACATTGCACATTTCGATGGGGATATATAGTGTCTCTCATTAGGATATCACATTAGGACTTAACCCCTGATACAACATCTCTTCCCAAGTTTCTGATTTTATCCATGATATTACAGTTTCCTGCAGGTCTATGACTTCAGTTTCTTCATAACAGGAACAAACGCTGCGGTTTTACTAGAAATCTATCTGAACATGTTCTCACCTCTGTTGGACGAGATTGGGAATTCAGGTCCTCTGTGTGATCTCTTGGATTCTGCCGGGCAGGAGAATTGACAGACAATTCTGGTTCATTAAACAGGCCATCATCTGGACCTTTCAATGAAAGCAGCGTCTCAGGTCTGTTTGACAGGAGAACCGCTGCTGTTATCAGACTTAGGAATGGATCCCTCATATATGAAAGTTGATCTTTCTCTGCACCTTCTCTGTAGCTGTAACACTATATTCTACATTCTGTTTTAGTACTCTGATGTACTTATGTAAGGTATGATTTGGCTGGTTAGCATGCAAAACAGTTGTTTTCACAGTATCTTGGTACATGTGACAATAACAAATCAAATCAAATGAGTGTTGATGAATGTTTTGATTCTGTAGAAGATTGCTTCTATGTAGAAACTAGTGCACATGTGTTCCATTCATACATTACCATTTTTAGTTGGAATGAAGTAGGACCATAGATGTGGTCTTTTCTGCTACTTGTCGATAATGAGTTTGATCTTGAATCCAAACTGGCCTTCCTTGTTAGAGGTCTGGTAGATTGACTGTTTGTGACATTTGTTATCATTCCATATCTGACTGGAATGTTATTCATCCTCTTTCTCCCTCACTTTTTTTTCTCCAAAGTCATCATCTTGTACATTTTGCATGAATGTATGTGGGAGAGTAGGGAGCTGAGCACTCAGCCTTCTCTCCCTGTGGAGATTACCTGGTCATAATGGAAAGGAAGGTGATATAAAGTGTTCTTTTGCCCTGACAATGAACAGCACAAGGTTCGATCCCTGGAAATTTGCCCACCGGTGAAATAAGTCCACAGCAGACGTCATTTCCCTAGCCCTACACTCATCCCTAGAACACCTAGGACACCGACATTAAGCTCGTATTTATTGGCTACAGCTCTGCCTCCAATACCACAATCCTAATCAGACTAATCTGAAAACTCAGAGAATTAGGTCTTGGCTCCGCTCTCTGCAACTGGATCTCAGCTTCCTGACCAACAGACCGCAATCATTGAAGATAGTCAGTAGCACCTCCTCTACGATAATTCTCAACACAGGCGCCCTGCAAAGATGCATTTTCAGCCCGCTACTGTACTCCCTGTACACCCAAGACTGTGTAGCCAAATTCGTATGAACGCCATCTGCAAATTTGCTGCCGACACCACTGTGGTAAGCCAGATATCAAACAGCAATGAGTCAGAATACAAGAAGGAAATAGAGTGCTTGGTGTCATGGTGCAATGATAATAATCTCTCTCTCAATGTCAGCCAAACAAAAGACCTGATCACTGACTTCAGGAAAAAAGGAGAAGGACACATCTCTATCTACAATCAGTGGAGCTGAGGCGGAGAGGGTTGAGAGTATCAAGCCTCTAGGAGTGACGATAACTAACAATCTGTCCTGGACCTCCCATGTATATGTATAGGTCAAGAAGACACAACAATGCCTCTTCTTCCTCAGGCGGCTTAGCAAATTTAGCATGTCCATAAGGACTCTCACAAACTTTCATAGATGCACCATAGAAAGCATTCTGTCCAGGTGCATAACGGCCTGGCACGGCAACTGCAGTACCCAAGACTATAGGAAACTACAGAAAGATGTATGCACAGCCCAGACCATCACGGAAACCCAAACTCCCATCCATGGACTCCATTTACACATCCTGTTGCCGCAGAAGTGCTGCCAACATCATCAAAGACCCCTCCCATCCTGGTAATGCTCTCTTCCAACCTCTTCCTTCAGGCAGAAGATACAGAAGCTTGAACACTTGCAACAACAGGTTCAAGAACAGCTTCTTCCCTGCTGTTATAAGACTGCTGAGTGGACCTCTCTAATTTCAAATAATGGGACCTTGCTAATGTTGATCTTGCTTTGTGCACCTCCTGTGTAGATGTAACCTTGTATGCCTCGATCTGTCTAAGCTTCCTATGATCTGTATGTCCTTGTTTGCTATGACCTGCCTATACTGCTCACAAAACAAAAGTTTTCACTGTACTTGGGTACATGTGACTACAATAAATCAAATCAAAAAAGGTGTTTTCTCTGTTTATTTTACTGCCTGAGAAGGGGATTATGTGGCCTGTCAGCTGGCCATTCTTGGATACAATAGCCTCTGATATGAACAGATTCATGTCGGATTTCTGTGCATCTTGAAGTTCTGGTTGTTAACAATGTAAAGGTAGGTTTCCACCGCCTCAATGAGAACTCCCGATACTTATTCACATCTTACCTTGGAAATATGGGAGACAAGGCATCTGCATCAAATCTCATCATCCTCAGTGTAAATTGTTGGACTGGTGGAGGCATTTTGGCAACTTCTATGAATTTATGAAGATCAATAAAGGTTTGTTGTCTGTCTTTGAAAATGAAGACCAAGAACATAACCTGCAAATCTCTCACAAGCCCATGTAGCAACTAATACTTCTAACTCTATCGCTGTCCATCTCTGTTCAGTCTCTGTCAGAGAATTGGTTGTGTAGTAAACTGGCTACATTTTCCATCCACCTATACCTGAAAAATTATAGATCCTAGTCCTATAGAAAATGCATCTGCAGTAATAGCTGTAGGTAGCTATGGGTCACAGGGAGCTAAAATATCAGCTGAAATCAACAGCTTTGATTTTCTCAAAAGACTTCTGCTGAGCTTCCTCCAATATCATGTGTTGTCTTGTTCTTTCAGCTGATGTCGTGGATCATTGACAATAGCTATTATGGTCAGACACTTTCCAACTTGATTTACCAGATTCATGAATCTTTGGAGTTCAGCAATGTTTCAAAGACTTGGAATCTCCTTAATTGCTGATGTCTTCTGTGGATAAACTCTGATACTTGATGCGTCCACAGTATGCTCAAGGAACCTGACAGTGGTCTGTGAGAATTTGTTTCTTGATGAGAGCAAGCCCTGCTTCCCATAGGCATTGCAGCAAAGCTTGCATGCTGGTGTCATGTTCTATCTGAGTGGATCCATAGATGAAGACAACATCCATATAACAGATAGCTCCATCCACTTCTGCTGGACATTGTCGTCTGCAGGATTTCTGGTCCTAACATGATGCTGAAAGGTAATGCATTGAAACAAAACTGTCCAAACAGGCGGAATGAGGTTGTGAATAACTAGGGCTCTTCTTTGAAGGTTAGTTGACAAGAAAACACTATTAGCATCTAGATTTGTGAAGAATAAACTTTTTCCCAACATTGCTAAGATGTAATCCACTGACGACATGGGATGAAATTTGCATTTACCCTGTTTTGTGTGAGATCTATACAGATTCTGAAAGATTCTTTCGGTCTTGTGTGCTGGAACCATTCTCAAGCACTAGCCTATTGTTTTATAACAGGTGAAATATCTCCTTGCTTCAACATAGTCAATTTCTTTTTTTTATCTTTAGCAATAGTAGATGATGAACATTTTTTGAGTGTAAATAGACACACTGACATTTCAGGATATGGAGCGATGCCTTATGGTGGCTTTTGCTTTCCCACTCCTCTGAACAGCAATGGAAATTTAGTTCTGATGCTATTAGGTTAGTTTTTTCAAGTTCAAGTTCCTCTTGAAAATCCAGTGAAATTCGCTACCGGCTTTCCTGGCTAAGGTCAGATGGCTCTGGTTCAATATAAGATATAGCATTCATATTGTTCTCTGACCTTTAGTTCTACACCACCTGACCTATATGGTTTTATGTATGGTGGCTGAAGGGAACCTCTTGCCATTGTTCTGTATCACCAACTAAAACTGTTTCCTGTATCTAAAGTGTTTCAGAGATAGTAGGAACTGCAGATGCTGGAGAATCTGAGAATCTTCTTTCTGAAGAAGGGTCTAGGCCCGAAACGTCAGCTTTCCTGCTCCTCTGATGCTGCTTGGCCTGCTGTGTTCATCCAGCTCTACACCTTGTTATCTCCTGTATCTAAAGTGCCTTGTTTCCCTCTACAAGAATATCAGCACTCCTGAAACTTCTGCTTGTTTCCTTCATCGGCAATAAGAGTATGGGTTAAATTCCCGCACTGGCTGAAGTTGCCATGAAGGACTCTTCTTCGCAATCTCTCTCCTCACATAAGGCACGGTGACCCTCAGGTTAAGCCACCATCAGTTGTCTGTCTCTAATGAGGGTGTAGCCCTATGGAGATGCCTTTTGTTAGTAAGGTAAGGTAAAATAGATGAGTAAATAAAATAAAAATAATGACTTTATGGTGACTTTATGCTTACATTATTAAGAAAAGGCATCTCCACATTGTTGTTATTTTATATGGCATGAATCTTGCCATCTTTTAGGGCTTATTCTGTAAATTTTCTTGCTGCAACATTGCTTGGAACTGCCCCTTTTTTTATTCATTAATGGGATGAGGGGCGTCGCTAGCTGGGCAGCATTTATTGCCCATCCCTAATTGCCCAGAGGGCAGTTCAGAGTCACCCACATTGCTGTGGGTCTGGAGTCACATGTAGGCCAGACCAGGTAAGAATGGCAGTTTCCTTCCCTAAAGGAAATTAGTGAACCAGATGGGTTTTTCCCCCAACAATTGACAATGGATTCACGGTCATCATTAGATTCTTAATTCCAGATTTTTATGGAATTCAAATTCCACCAACTGCTGTGGCAGATGAGAACCCGGGTCCCCAGAACATTATCTCGGTCTCTGGATTAACAGTCCAGTGATAATATCACTAGGCCATTGCCTCCCTTCTTGCAAAAATGGCACTTGGTCTCTTGGTGAATCCTTCTGTATTCAAATGGATCTTTGGTTGACAACAAGAAGTTGATTAGTCTATGGTTGTAATGTTCAGTTATCAATGAAAAAGGCCTTTTGATTATCAACAAATTGTGATTGGTTCTCAGGTAACTGAACAGCTTGGGACTGGGATCAAGATACTGGGAAAATTATCAGATCTTCACCAGTAGTATTATCTGCAGTAAGAAAAAGCCTTTAAGCCTGAAGAAAAGTTTATCTTAACTTCAGCAGCAAGCTGTGACTTTTAATTGATGGGTCAATGACCTTTTATAAGTGAATTAGCCACCCTGTGCCTTTGCAAACCAGTGGAAACCTCAGGAAAGGAAAGCTGAGAGGAAGCCTTCTGATCAGCAAAAAACAACTCACAGATCTTGAGAACAAAGGTTACTGAACTGCTTTTCCGGTTTTAGCTCTGTCCATATATATTTTTCCCTGTCTATGACTGTCTGTCTATGCATGCTTAAAGGGACATTCATAAGGGGATTAGGGTTTTAATTTGTAGTGTTATATGCCAATGATGTATAAATGTTTACCTATAACCTAATTACTTGTAATAAATAGTAATTCTTGTCAGGACAGCAACCTGGTTTCAATAAACTTGCGTCAAAAATCTAATTGGAGAACCTTTGTGTACTTATTTAAAATCTTTAACTTTTTTAATGACTCTTGGAATAACATGCCTTGATTCCCAGGACGCTACCCTGGTGACTCATGATTTGCCACTTATTTACTCTGATATCAGCGCAACTTTCCAACATAGTTTTCTTGGCCAAATCCTGGCCTCATACCCCCTACTTGACATGGCCTTACTATGCCAACTCATTCCCCCTCTATTCCCCACCATATTCTGCACACCCTCCTCCATGGTCCCTTATATTCAACAAACCCTCAACATATCTGCTTTAGCCACTCACCCATTAGCTAGTATGTGTGTTTTCAGGTGCCAGCTAAAAATGACATGGATATTAAAAATGTACACCTCTACAATCTAGTAGAACTACTGATGAAAAAGCATTACCATTCATGTTTCTAAAACAAAGCCCTCACCTAATGAAAAAAAATCATAATTCCCCTCAAGTGGTCAATCTGTTGTAAAAAACAAATGAACTTATTCTTTGACAACACATCAACAGCATATAATCCTTTACTGGCCTCTTAAAATGTCAATCATCCTGTGAGCACAGCCCTGGTAGATAAAATGTTCTGTGGATTTGGAAACTCAACCAAACATTCATAATCACAGCTGTCAAAAGAAATACAACTTACCATCAATGAAACCTATTCAAACTACAAGAACAGATAACATTTAAAATAAACAATACTAGCTATCATGTCAGTTAAAGTAGTTTCAGTGCAGGAGGTGTCTGTTGCCTTTCCCAAAGGAAAGCTGAAGGCCCATTTTTCAAATTTATGGGGCTGAAAATTCAATCACTTTGGATTATGATACCAGAATTCCAAAGCACTATTTACTATAATTTTCCACTTTTCCAAAATGGAAGAAGTATTCATATGTACCTTTTCACATGCACAATTTTAATCAATGAAGTGGTCAACTTCTCTGTTGATGACCGAGCCCTGTTCTGTAATAAAACATGCCTAATTTAAAAGGTAACATTTAATAATGATATTCAAAGCTGTCAAAGCATTTAACATTTACCTTTCAGAATGTTATCAACTCCTGTGCTTCTGCTCTAGATCCTTTGATCTCTCAAACAGATTTTCAGAAGCCTCCAAGCTTTGACAAAAATACTGAGGGAACAGGAAAACAAATTTCCACTGAGGATCTGCTTGGCAACCCTGATGTGGATGTGCATGCAAGCTTGTAACCCAAGCCATTCCTGACCCACAAAACAGCCACATTAAGTGTGGGGTGGGTAAGGCACAGAAAATTCAAAATTCCAATGAAAAATGCTTTTGTAATTCCTAATTCCTTTCTCATGATAAGAGGAAAATATTTGAGATCAAAATGCAGGTCGTCAATCTGAAACATTACTTTTGGGGCAGCCCATGGCCAGAGGTGGCACAAGATGGCTGCCTGTGGATTTTTAATTTGTGTTATTATGGTAGAGAAGATTTTTAGCTGCAGTAACAGAAATAGCTTGCTGAGTTCATGATTAAAGTGAGATCATAAGTTAGGACAATGGTAGAAGAAGATCAACCCAAATTAACAGATTTAACAAAGAAACTTACAAATTAAAATACAGGAAGTTCTGTGCAATCTCACAGTGGCAGGTAACTGTAACAGGCAGTCTGATGAGACATGTTTGGAAACTGACAGCCTGAAGTTTATTGTCAGCAAGAATTAAAAGAAAAATACGATCCCACAATAATAGAGTCTCTTTAGGTAAGTGAGTATTGCAAAATTAATGTTAGGCATACACTGCATTTCTTAGGAGATTTGGGTGAATTCCTTTGAAACAAAGGACTATAGGTGGTTGAGACGAGCCTACCATCCTGTTGACAAGATGGACTGAACAACAAATGGGAAAGCAGATGACCTCCAAAGGGCACCAGCTTGAATTTGAGAAAATAAACAATGGCAGCTTCCCAACCTAAGTAAGTGAACCTAGATAATGATGGAAAAAAACTCAAATGAATTCTTATGAAGGACAGAGATATCTTGAAAAACCTTAGGAATTCAGACAAGTATCTTGAGCTGGGAAGTGATAGAGTTTCAATTTTAATAATGGAATTTGAATAGATGTTGTCTTATTATCAAAATAGTGTAGAAATATTTAGAGTAGGGACAGTAAATTTCATCTTAGAAGCAATCTCCTGTTCAAAACAAACTTATAGACAGCATGTGAATAGGACTTATAATTGTAGCTTCTAGGTAGAGGGGCACTGTTTGTTTGACATTTCAAGCTCAGGAAGAACAGAAGCTGCTCACAACTCATTGGCTAAAAAGTTCTAACATTAAGTGTAACCGTATAACTTTATATATAACTAACTTTATATTAGAACTGACACTATGAATTTTATAGTAATTAATTGGAATTAGCATCTTTTTGTACCTCCTGTGATTGGGATAGTAGGATGTATAAGATGAGTAACATTTGATAAGGATAGCAATGAATACAATGAGTAACAAAATTTGAACAGTCCTTAGAGATTAGCAAGTTTAGCAAATGTCTGAGAAAGAGTAAAACCACTAACATTAGAATGTAAATTAATGGAGTATGTTGTAAGATCCCAAGGCCTGATGATAATGATGTCTGGGAAATATCATGAGATCATGGGGAACATAGAGCTGTCCTTAGGAGTGTTAATCATTGATCTGGTGTTTTACAGGATTGGATGTATAGATTACGGGGATGGAACAATGATATCAATGTTGCATGTAATTATTGTAACGTGAAATAAATAAAAATATTGCACTTAGATGGGAAGCTAGAGTGTCACTGACCTCCAGCTTGACACATAATTAAGTAGGCAACTGGCCCCATGTAAAAGCCAGGTTCAGAGCGGTTTCTGGCCTTTCCCACTCCTGTGTTAAAAGAGCTCTGAATAAAGGTTGCTTGGAGTGCTGAACACAGAACTGGAGACTCCTCTTTGACATCTTTCCCCAACAATTACCTTTCCATAGACACTCCCAGACCTGAGTATTTCCAGCATCTTCTGTTTTTATTAATGGTTGACAACTGACCTCCCTGATCAGGATGAAGGATCATGTACAGAGGCACTCATATTTGAAGATGGTATCAATCGGGTCAGATATGCCGGTTACACTCATTCCAGCACAGGCCATTACTGAGGACAGCAATACTCATGGAGGTGCCTCCTTCTGCTTCTTTTGTTTAATGTACAACATCCTCTGTAACCGGTTTGAAGAGTTTTCATGCAATCATGCGTTTGCTCGGATCTGTTTTGGTATTTGGCCATCCTCTGTATTCTGATTATGTAACATTTGTCCTTTCACAGGTTGACCAAATGGCTGCAGGACTGCTCGCCATTGGCCTGGAGAAAGGAGACCGGCTAGGCATGTGGGCACCAAATATTTACGAGTGGGTTTTGATGCAGTTTGCAACTGCGCAAGCTGGTATCATATTGGTAAGTAGTCAAACAGTCAACAGCAGTTTTATCCCAACCCCCCACCTCCCCAAGTCCTACTTAAGGCAGTTGTTGTAGGTCCTCCACGAAGCCAACCTGACAGCACGTGATCTTAGGTCCAGAAGCAACCCAGAAAATATGATTATTAGTTTCCATGTGTGGTAGGATTTCTGTCCTTGGATCTCTCCTGGGATTCCCCTTCCTGTTGACTGCCTCCATCCCTCTTGATTCCACATGGCTATAGCTCCTTGATTCAGTTCCTTGGCAGGAGCTCCATGCCGCCTGAAATGCCACACCAGCCTGCCAACCAAGTCTGACTTCCTGCTGGAATTGTGTGGGTAGCTCACTGAAAGCATAATGATACGGCCCAGGAGTCAAATCTCCATGGTCCTAAGCTACTGGAGAGGTGGGCCCTGTTTTGAAATTGTATGTTTTGTTTCTATCAAATGTAACATGAGCTTATTGAGTGTGAGCTTAGTAACAACGTTCCATGATATTTGTTCTCACTTGGTAAAAATGAATAGTCTTTTTTTTCTTTAGAGAACTAGCAGCTTTGAAATTTCCCACCTAATTCTGAGTCTGATAGTGAGAACTGATATTTTTAAACTGTCTTTGTACCAACTGATGAACAGCCAAGTTGACCAAATGACTCTTGTTTCTCAATAATATGGAATAAATGGTGTCAAGCTGCTGAGTTTGCTTTGCACTGCACAATATGAATTACAATATAACAAATCCATTAAATTTTACTTTTTAATTCTGATCTCCTCTCCTTTGATCACAGGCTAACATCAATCCAGCATACCAGGCTCGTGAGATGGAATTCGTCCTGAGGAAGGTAAGCTGGACTGGTAGTTTGCCTCAGTATGGGAATCCTTCACAGAAAAATTAACTACGTGTGCCTCTTTTCTGATATCTCAGTGGGTAGAAGCACTTCACAGTCATCTCACAGCTAGGGTCAAATTTGGACAGCCACCCTAAAGCAACAGTGCAATATAGTCATGGTCATGGAATCATACCTTCCAATGTCCAAGATACCACCATGATCATCTTGAGTGTTTCCTGTTCCACCAACAAGCCAGACCCACCAGAGGTAATGGCACAGTAGTATATGAAATAACTCCACAGAGACCTTCAGTCACCAAGTCATCCTTTATTTACACATGTAGACCCCTTGATACTGATCCAGCTCCCTTACAGCCAGCTCTCAGAGTCAACAGGATGTCTGACACACCTGTTCTTATCTGTCAGCCAGGGCTCCCTGATTGGACCAGATTATCATCCCCAATCAGGGAACTCATATTCTATGCGGTCCACCGGGCTGACCTCATTACAATCACCACATCCTACCCCCTCTGAGTTTGAAGACGTAGGCCAATTTTTTTGTAGCTTCTCCTGGGGCATTTTAGCACTGGGCCAGGTTCCTCCAACTCTGCCTGTGATATGGACAGTATATAACACACAGTAGCTTGCCTCTTACGCACAGAGTGTCTCGGAAGAAATTCATTCCCTTCTTCTGGCAGCAAAGGTGTCGAGGCAGTGACATCCATCACGTCCATCTCAGATTCTGTGATATCTTTGACACTTGACAGAAAGGGAGAACCCATGGGTTCCAGAACAGTCTGAGGAGCCAGGCAAGTTTTGCTGCTACATTGTTTGCGTGTTTGTAGCTTTCATATGGTCCACGTGCTTGTTAAGGCCCATCGCACCTACCTGAACTCTATACGTCACAAGACTTGACCTCACGTCAACTATGTCTTTTATTCATTCTGTGGCCCATTTCTGCGGGTTCCTACACCTAATGTCCTCCCTGAACTAAACTGTCTTTCTTGCTTAATGGATTCTTATGTCTGGCAATGGCGATCCTAATACCATTAGGAAATAGCTGTTTCTTTAAGCTTGCCTTCAAAGTTTGGACAGTGCTTTCTGCCAGACCATTGGATGGTGGATGGTATGGAGCTGACCTTATACGATGAATACCATTCCAATTGAGGAAATACTCAAATTCGCAGCTGGTAAACAATGGCCCATTATCTGTGACCAACACTTCCAGCAGTTCATGTTTTGCAAAAGATATGTGCCATTTTCTATCATCGTCCCCAAGTTTGACGAATGAACTCTATGCACATCCAGCCATATTGTGTGTGCGCCTACAGTGACTATAAACATTGAGCCCATGAAAGGACATGCATAGTCGATGTGTATCTGAGTCTAGATTTCTCCTGGCTATCATTCCCATGAATGTGGGGGGACTTCTGGCAGTAATTTTTGTCCTTGTTGGCACGCTGGGCACTGCCCCATCAATGTAGCTACATCTGCATTCAATCCTGGCCATCAACATCTCACCAACATCTTCATTTTGGAAACCCGTGGATGAACCTGGTGGAGTACAACCAGTATCAGGTGGCAGTCTTTGCTCAGGACAATCACTCTTGCTCCCCATAATTATATACTGTCCTCTACTGTGATCTGGTCTTGCCAGGTCCAAAAAGATTTCAATTCAGGTTGTGACTGCCTTTCGGTTTCCCCCATCGTTACCAGCTGTTTCAGTTTTGCCAGATCTTTCTGCGTCTGAAATCTGATATTGTCAGCTGTGACTGGAAGTGTGTCCGAAAACTTAAAACCATGAAGGACTCTTTCAGTGGTGGTACTACCATTGGTATATCTGCCAGCTGGAGGTGGCTCAATGCATTCGTATTTGCCCCTTGGCCTCCCGGATAGTATTCCAATTTGTAATTATAAGTACTTAGTATTAGATTGAATTTGGCCTGAAGCTATGTGCAGCACTGCTTTGTCCTCCTCCTAACAGACCTAGCAGGAGTTTGTGGTCCATTATTGTTACAAATCTACATCCATAAAGGTATTGTTGAAACTTCACAACTCCAACTATGACCACCAAACCTTTCTTCTCTAGCTGGACATATTTACGCTCTGCATTAACCAAAGTCCTGGATGCGTGTGCTATTGAGCTTTTCTCTCTATTGGGCCATCAATGAGCTAATACTATCCTGATGCCATACAGGAAGACATTGCATGTCAATACCAGATCTCACTTGGGATCATAGTGTGTTAACACCTTAGAGGATAATAGCTGTTTCTTCACTTCTCTGAAAGCTATGGCATGGCTAAGCAACTATTTCCAAGGCTGAACATTTTTTTAAGAGTTGATGCAAAGGTTCCAGCTTATGTATGAACTTTCCATCATAATTCACCAGCCCAAGGAAAGACCTAAGCTCTGACACAGTTAAGGGAGCCAGGGCACCTTTGATCGCCCTCACTTTATCTTCCAATGGATGTAACCTGGTCTTGTCAACTCGGTAGCCCAAGTAGGTCACTTGAGGTGCCTGGAACACACATTTCTCCCTTCTAAGACATACGCCTGCCTGGAAGAAACATCTGAGAACCATGTCCAAGTTCTCTAAGTGCTCCTTATTGGTCTTCCCTGTTTTTGTCATGTCATCTAGATAAATGGCAAACTGGGTAGATCTTGTAAAATGTTCTCCATCGTCCACTGAAAAATTGCACAAGCTGATGACACCCCAAATGGCAGTCTTATATATTGGTATAAATTCTTATGGGTATCAATTGTAGCGTACTTCTGGAAATTCTTATCTAACCGCAATTGCAAGTATACATGGTTCATGTCCAGCTTCATGAAGGACAGAACCCTGTCAGCTGTGCATATAAATCCTCTGCAAGGGATTGTGTATTTATCCAGCTGTGAAAAGCAGTTTATTGTTTGTTTAAAATCCGCACAAAGATGAACCGACCAGTCAGTCTTCACAATTGGTATGACCAGCACTGGTCCGCAAACTGGATTGATGATTCCTTTGTTTTCCAGCCTTCTGATTTCTGCCTCTACTTTTGTCCGTAAAGCAAATGGCACTGAGCAGGTTTTGCAGAATCGGGGACTTTCTTCCTGGTCAACATGCAAGGTAGCCTTGGCTCCAGTCATAGTCCCTAGACCTTCCTAAAAACATCCGGATATTTAATTAGGACTTCGCTCAGGTAGCAATTTTCTAACTGAAAAATGTTGAGTACATCTAGTTGAATCTTTCTCAACCAATTTTGCCCCATCAAGCTTAGGCCTGAACCTTTTACTACAATCTATGGTAACTGAACCAGCTGCTTTTCATAAGAGAATGGAACTGAAGTTGTATCCTTATTGCAACCAGTTTCCATTGGTTGGAGACATATACAACAAAGCACATAGAACATAGAACAGTACAGCACAGTACTGGCTCACAACATTGTGCTGACCTATTATCCTACATATCGAGTATAAAAGAAGCTTGTTGTGGTTGTTGGAGGACAATCATCTCAGTCCCAGGACATCATTATTGGAGTTCATCAGGGTAGTTTCTTTGGTCTAAAATTTGTCTCATCAGTGACCTTTGTTCCAATATAATGTTAGATCTGGTAATGTTCACTGATTGCACAGTCCCATTTTCAGCTCCTCAAATACTGATATAGTGCATGTCAGTATACAGCAGGCAACATTCAGGTTTGGGCTAATAAGTGGCAAGTAATATATGCACCACATAAATGCTAGGCAATAGTCATCTCTAGCAAGAGAGAATTTAACAAAAAACTGAAAGAACTGCAGATGCTAGAAATCAGAAACAAAAATATAAATTGCTGGAAAAGCTCAGCAGGTCTGGCAGCATCGGTGGAAAGAACCTTCCTTTGACATTCAGTGGCATTATCCCCACTATCATCAATTCTCATTGGCTTCTCATTCACCAGAAACTTAAATGGGAATTCTGTTGGAAGGAATTCACCTCTTGATTCTCTAAAAGCCTCAGCAAGAGAAATGTCATATACGAAAGGACCATAGTAACAATGCACATAAGCTATGTACCAGACAGAAGCCTCTTATTCAACGGGATATTATTTAGACATGGCTTGACCACCTCTTACTTTTTTGTCACAGGGTATTGACTGCACAGAGACATAGCTATTCCATTTACAGGGCAGCATGGTGGCACAGTGGTTAACACTGCTTCCTCGCAGTGCGTGGGACCCGGGTTTGATTCCACCCTCGGGCAACTGTCTGTGTGGAGTTTGCACATTCTCCACATGTCTCCGTGGGTTTCCTCCCGGTGCTCTGATTTCCTCCCATGGTCCAAACATGTTCAGGTTATGTGGATTGGCCATGCTAAATTGCCCATAGTGTCCAGGGTGTTCAAATTAGGTGGATTAGCTATGGAGGGAAATGCAGGGTCACAGGGATAGGTTGGAGGGACTGGATCCATGTGAGATGCTCTTCAGAGGGTCAGTGTGTACTGGATGAGCCGAATGACCTGCTTCCACACTGTAACGATTCTATGAATTAGGACAAAGGATAGAATCATCTCTTCAAATTCGAACTCATACTTTTCCCCTTTGCATTTTCTAGGAAGGTACCCTTTCAGATCAACTGGAGAAACCCATGGGAATTTGCTCTGGTGGTTGTGGCCCAGATGGGGAATTGGAGATAATGACTGTAATGGAGCTGTGGTGGAGGTGGTGACTGTAGTGAGAGGTGTGATGGTGCCAGTGACTGTGGAGATTGTTGTGATGGTGACAGTGACTGTGGAGAGTTGTCATGGAGATGGTGACTTTTGTGAGTGAAGGTGGTGAATATGATGTGCATTGTGATGGTGATAGTGAATGTAGTGGGAATTATGACAGGAACAGAATGCGCTGTAAATGTTGACTGCTGTGGAGCTGGATTACTGATGGTGAAACTAGTGAAGATTGTGGTTGTGACAATGAATGTGGAGAAGGTTGTGCTGGTGACAACGAATGTGAATGTGATGGAGGTTGTGGAGATTGTGGTGAATGTGGTGAGGGTTGTGGTATGATGGTGAATGTGGTGAGGG